CTTATAAGACTGAAACATTGTATCGATCACTTTCTTTAGTTATTTGGTGTGTGAATATTTTCCTCTCATATAAATAAATGTCATTTAATAATTTATTTATTTTATATATTTTGAAAACGTTACATCAACTTTATTTTTATTCCACTACTTTTTAATCTTTTTTTTTCAAATAAGGAGCTGAACGTCCGTGAACTAACCGTAACTTCTGACAAAGAGCGTTATGGCATTCGACTTCGTGCTAAATTAAATCACCGAGTGTTAGGCTCTCGTCTCCGCCAAGACTACAAGCAGATAGTTGAGGCCGCCAAGCTATTGAGTTTTATCGAACTCGAGCAATTTCAGCAGGTTTATGCCTCCATATTAATCCAATGCGTTTTTATAGCTTGCTGTAAATAATGAAGCTATATCTTTATCATAGACGCATAGTTGCTTAGTGTAGTATCTTGTCATCGATATATCATATTTGTTGAGTCGTACTCTTAGTACTAAATCAACTATATGTCATAGATTGCAACAATTAATTATTAGTATTTTGAGTTCATATAGTTGCTTGTTAACTTATTAATCCTCTAGCCAGTAATGGGAATTCATATTGAATTTTTTTTACTTACATATTTTTCATCCTACCTGTAAAATTATGCCTGTAATATCCCACTTGAAATATGAGACATTTTTCAAATGTTTCAGTTTAGTTGTTTCTTACTATACTAGAACATTAATAAGCTGTTATCCTTTTTGGCGGTACTTTTTGAATTATGCTTATTAAAACAATCTTTATAAACCTAGTTACTCTTCGTATGTTTAATCTTTAAGTGGATTCTTGTCTTTTTACTCGTAAATAGTGAGACCTAGATTATTTTTATTTTGTTCGATTCCCTCTTTCGTTGTATAGAATTGATGTAACCTTGATTTTATCGTGATGTCAGAGAAATATCGAACTTCGCTCGTACTTCCTCACTCGTAATAGTAACCCAGCCTTAGACCGTTGACAAGTAAAATCTCGCCTTTAACTTCCTGTCTAACATTTGTGGTATCTTCTTTGTATATCCTGGTCCATTTACCTATCACATGGAGCTT